TTATATTCGGGTAGCTTTGAAGTTGCACTTTGTTAGTTAGAGGGCTTTAAGTTCATGGGTTTCATTCCTTAAAGAAACCTAGCCAAGAAAAGAACACCCAACCTAAATGATGCTTTTCCAATAACACAGAATTAGGTTAAATGTTCCCAAACTGGCACTGTTATGGATTGAATTGTGTCCGCTCCGGCCAAATGCATGTGTTGAAGTCCTAACTCTCTCAGAATGTGACCTACTGGAAAGTAGGGCCATGGCAGATGTCATTAGTTAAGATGAAGTCATAATGGAGAAGAGTGGGCCCCTGACCCTATATGCCTGGTGTTCTTCTAAAAACTGGAGATCTGGACCCAGACACGCACGCAGGGAGAATGCCACATGAAGACGAAGGCAGGTATCCGGGTCATGCTTCTGCAAGCCCAGGAACGCCAATGCCTGTCAGGGGCCACCAGAAGCTAGGAAGGAGGGGTGGAACGGATTCGCCACCACCTTCAGAAAGCTTACACTTCCCGCCCCCAGAGCTGTGAGACAACGAATTTCTATGGTTTGAGCCATCCAGTCCGTGGTATTTTGTTAAGGCAGCCCTAGCAAACTAACGCAGGCACTGAGCAAATACGCTGCTTGGCTGCTTTTATCCTGTGCTCTCCACAATGCAATCTACTTACGTCATGGAGAGCAAGCACCGCAGCTAATAGGTAAAAGGAAATGCCTCACTGGGTTTCTTTCCTCTTGCGATATCTCTTACTTAAACATGCCCACTTTCATCAGCGTTATATCCTAGAGACCTGAGAAGCAGGTCGTGAAGAAAAAAGACAATTTTCTGAGATGACATTATCAAAAAGAAAAACACTTAAAGAAAGGAGAACTGAAAGAGTCTTAGGAGAAAAGAATCTGTCCATGGTAACTTCATTGGGTACTTTCGCTCTCCCACGATTTTTCTCCATCACTGACACCTCCATCCGGAACAAATGCCTCCTTCTACCTGCTCATTCACCCGCCTTTATTCTGCTTTCATGCATAACTCTGGCAACTTTCCACCTACTCTGTTCTTCCCATCCTCTCCCCATCTCCCCTGCTAGCCTCTCGTACCTACCGCTGGAGGACCAGCTGCGCGGACGGCAGTGGAGGGAATGTGTGCAGAAGTGGCTGTCGGGTTAGCTTTGCTGCACCCACCCAGCTACCGGCCGGAGGAGGTGATGAAGATGATTTAGGGCCTGGTTTCTGGCAGCAAACCCCAACCCACAACTCTTGCTGGACTTAGGGGAATCGGAAACAGAATGAGTTCATAAGCCAGGCTAGAATCAGGCCTGAGGAAGGTTATGATTAAACCAAAAATGAAGTGAACGATGGCGAGAATTGGAGGGGTGAAGGGTGGATGCTAATACCAATTAAAGATGCTAATACCAATAATAATAATAATAGTGATACTAAAACTCATTGAACACGCATATGGTTAAGAACCCAGGACATTAGTAAATATTTTGAAAAACAATGGCAATATTTTAAAAATATATTTCTACAACTTGCAAAAAATGGTTTGAAAGAGGTCAAGGGATTATTTTACTTTCCTGATCGTTCAATAAACATTTGCTAAACAATTTTTAAAGTATGGAATTTCCCTAGAGAGAGCTTTAAAAAGCTATTCCACTCATTGGACAAAATGGCTTAAAATTCCAGGCAATGAGCATAAATAATTTTTTTTTTTGCATGAGATACTTTGCTATGCTCCTTCACGATGATACCGACAGAAGGATACTGGAGCCATTGTCATGTATTCAAAACTTATTTCGAATTATTTAACTGGAGGGTGCAGAACTTTGAGTGGCACGGTTTCTCGAAGTTCCTGCACTATCAGCGTCTGGCTTTTCCAGGCTGGTGCTGTGAGAATTCTCCCACTGCAGGACCGCTGTGGTCGACCACCACAGTCACGGGAGTCTGGACTAACCAGGGCTGTCTGGAAGAGGAGGCGTTTGACTAAGCTAAACATTCCAGGAAAAAGCTAAGAATGAATTAAAAGCTCATTAATTCAACCAACATTTATCAGATACCAACTTTCTGGCAGATTCTCTGTTTTGCTCTAAGGGTAAAATGAGTAAAACATGTTGCTTGCCCTTGACTAAGTGACACTCTTGTTGGAGAATTACAGGCTAGAGAGGAAGAGCTCTGTGCCCTCTAACACCCTCCAAATAAACCCTTGGGAACACTTCTAAAAACAAAATGCTGATTTTTCTACTAAGGGACCAGTGTTTTATATTTCAATTTCTCATAATTATAAGAAAGTCAATTAGAAATTATTTAGAACAAAATTATTTCTCTGGACATATTATCCTTCTTTAATTTTTTTCTTGGCAAACACGCAGCCCGTACGATGTGCCAATCATTGCTATAATCACTTAGAAAACATTAAGCCATTATTCATTCTAACAACCCTATGAAGTACATATTATTATTATTTCCCCCATTTTGTAGATGTGGAAATTGAAGCCCAAAGCGAGTAAGTAACCTGCCTCGGTTTACATAGCTAGCAAAAGGATTATCTTTTAGTAAGGTAATAAAAGATCGAAGTAAAATAAATTATATCAAAAGAAAAAGGAAAATAAAACATATTCTATGTTCAAGGACTAAATGAAATCAGAACAGGAGTCAATCCTTAAAATTTTTCAATGCTAGTTGCAGTTAAATAAGTGTTACAGTTGGACAAGAAGAGTAAGTTCTGGTGTTCTATCACGTAGTAGGGTGACTATAGCAAATAACAACGTAGTGGATATTTCAAGATAGCTAGAAGAGAAGATTTTGAATGTTACAGCCACAAGGAAATGATAAATGTTTAAAGTGATGGATATGGTAGTTGCCCTGATTTGGTCATTGTACAATGTATACATGCATTGAAACATTACACTGTATCCCATAAATATGTACAATTATTATGTGTTAATTATAAATTTAAAATT